GGTTCAATTCCCAGCATCCCATATGGTCCCCTGAGCACCGCCAGGGGTAATTCCTGACTGCATGAGCCAGGAGCAATCCCTGTGCATTGCCAGGTGTGACCCAAAAAGAAAAAAAGAAAAAAAAAAAAACCAAAACCAAAACACAAATGTCAGCATTCACTGTCTTTGTATCCCAAAACCCAGCCAAGGTAGAAAATTCTGCCTAGCGCCTGGACCCATGGCAAGCCAGGAATCTTTCAGGTCTGCTTTGAAGCCCCTCGTTTCCCGAACGGCAGGGAGACATACAAGGAATTCTCCCTTTGGTATGGAGTCACTAGAAATTGGGCCTAGTTCTTTGCCAAAGTGTGTTGGCATCTCTCTCTGCAGAGTCTCTGACAATTACCAAGAATGGCACAGGCCTATTCTGGGCTGTCGAAATCCACCCAAAGTCTTCTGTTTTTCTTAAATGCTTCTTGGCTACTGATTTCCTCTGGCATATCACTACACAAGTCCTATCAATTCATGACATGAAAATATCAAATAAGGGGCCAGAGGGAGAGATAGTACAAGGGGTAAGGTGGTTGCTTTCTACGCAGCAGACCCTGTTTCAACCCCTGGTATCACATATGACCTCCCAAGTATCACCAAGAGTGATCACAGAGTACAGAGCTGGAAGTAAGCCCTGAGCACTGCATGATGTGTCCACAACTCCCACACGCCAAATCAAATTAATATGACAAATATTTAAAATTTACAAACACAGAACAGAACTGTAACCAGCAAAATCCAGACTTGGAAATGACTGATCAATCGGTTTTTTTCCCCTAATAAAATAATGGAGGAGAGAATGAGAGGATTAAAAAGTGATTAGTGACATGTGACTAGCCACACTTCCTATTTAACATACCCTGTTTGTTTGAATTCTTACTCAAATAACCAGAAAAATGTGATCAGAAAAAAATGTGAATATGGACTGGAAACCTGTTGAGAAAATATTTGTCCTTTTATGGAATGTGCGATATCAATGTCACTGAAAAGGACAGACATAATCTTTTTCAACACTGAAATTATTTATATAATGAAAATATGAAATAAGATACCGTTTGGGATTTTCTGTGAAACATGTCTGATAAAGGGGCTAGAGAGACTGTATAGCGGGTAGGACCACCTGGTCCCCTGAGCTTGCCAGGACTGATCCCCGAGCACAGAGCCAGGAGTAATCCCTGAGCACCACTGGCTAGGACCCTAAAACAAAAAACAAATAAAGCTAATAGAATCATAGCAAGTCTGGGCCAAGAGACAGTGCAGGGGGTTAAAGCACATGCCTTGCATGCAGCAGACCGCAAGTTCGATCCCTGGCACTCAATATGGTCTCCTGAGTCCCGCCTGGAACAATCTCTTGAGCAGAGTTGGGAGGAAGCTCTGAGCACAGCTGGGTGTGCTCCCCCCACAAGCAAAAAAATATCAACACAAATCTAATTTTTCACAAAGGAATTTTTTTTTTTTTGCTTTTTGGGTCACATCTGGCGATGCACAGGGGTTACTCCTGGCTCTGCACTCAGGAGTTACTCCTGGAGGTGCTCAGGGGACCATATGGGATGCTGGGAATCGAACCTGGGTCGGCGGCGTGCAAGGCAAATGCCCTACCCGCTGTGCTATCTCTCCAGCCCCCACAAAGGAATTTTTGATGTCTGTAATACCATGCAATTCTTTTCAAGATAGCTAAATGGGAGCAGTACTCAGGACCAGAGAGATCATTCAAGTGGTAGCACATGACTAGCAAGTTTAAGGTCCTGAGTTGGATTCCCCAGAACCACAGGGGCCTCCAAGTATCACCAAGTATAGCCCTGGTGGGTCCTGAGCCTGCTGGGACCCCTGACAGCCACTGGGTATGGCCCCTATAAAAAATAAATGAAAATAATTAAAAAAAATAAAGTGATATGAGACCACAGAGACAGTACAGCAGGTGGGGTGTTTGCCTTGTACGTGGCAGACACAGGTTCAATCCCTGGCATCACCTCTGGTCCCCTAGCCCTGCCAAAAGTGATTCCTGAGCGCAGACCCAAGAGAACTTACTAAGTCCTGAGCACTGTCAGGTGTGGCCCCAAAACAAAGCAAAAATAACAACAACAATAATAATAAAGTTGATACTTGGATTCACAGATTCTCTATGTACCATTTCTCAGCATCTTTTAAACCAGGGTCCCTCACACCTTGTTTCCTTCCGTGGCCCTCACTATCCTACCAACTGGCCCTTAGTCTCCTGCCCTGACCCCATCATGAAAGTTTTACCTAAGTGAGACCCCTTGGAATATCTTGGGGGCCCTGGTGGGGGCCATCCACTTCTTGATCTAAGATAGCCTTTTGCTTGTTTTGGGGGCCACACCTGGCTGTGCTAGGGGATTGAACCCAGATGATAAATGCTCCACCCACTGAACACTCTCTAGCCTTCTAAGAAACCTTTGATGGAGAGTCTAAACTCTTGGCTTTTGCCGTATTTCTGTCTCAGTGCATCATCCTCTGTGATGGCAGAACAGGCACTTACCTCTAAGGAGTGGGATCCGTTTCAAGGGTGTACACTAAAAGGTTTGCTCTCAAACACCAGAAAGAAGATGGAAATACAGAACAACCTCACATCCATGCCTGGCTCACCTGCCTTAGCTTGGCTGAGGCTAGCAAGAACTGTACCATCAAGCCCACGCTTCCAGATCACCACACCTCCGAGCCCTGTCATTTCCACTCAGTCTTTGACAACAGCCCCCAACTCTGCAGCAGACTACCCATGTTTGCCCTTTACTGCGTCTTTCTCCTAAAAGTTTGGCCAGGTCAACTAAAAGGTTCAGAAATCTGCAGTCAGCTGGACTCTATTCCAAAACCTGCCGATGGGGAGAAATGAAATTCTTAAAAGGGTTTAAAGACATTCTACTGCACTTCCGATTGGAATACACACTAACCATCCACCCACAGAAATATTCATGACCGCTAATAACGAAACGCTGCTTCATTCCAGCTGCAGTCCCCAGGTACACGAAACCTTATTGATACAAGACACAAATGACTGTCTAAGTTTGTCCAGGGCAAGTTCAATTGCTGTTAATTTTAAGGGAAGATCAGGTTTCTCCCTCTGGCAAAATAAACCTTCTCTAATCCTTGGTGAAATCAACACTTCATGAAATAAAGCAGCAACACTTCTCCCGTGACTGGGACAAGATAACCAATTAGATCTCATTCGTCAGCTTCTGACCCCTGATTTTGTGAGGCGACCTTAAAAGCAAACAAACAAGAACCCCTAAAGCCTCCTCTATCTTGCCCCCCTCCCCGGAACAGAGCGAATGAAAATGACGTATTCTGCAAGTTGAAGCACAGGAATTTTTCAGCATCCCCATTTCTGGCGGGTGCGACGCAAACACATTCCCCAGTAAACCCCCCTCTCCCGCTCCCCCCGTGAAGAATTGCCAAACGCTGAGGCCTGTGCTGATTTTCAGCAGACCAAAAAAAAAATAATAATAATGTTATGTTTTGGGTTTTTTTTTTCTTTAAATGAGAAGGAAAAGGAGGAGAGTAGGGTGTGGAAAACTGGAGCCGACTTAATTCTCTCGTCTCCTCCCCTCTTTCTCTGCATCCGAATGCAGGTCTAGCAGTGACATCTCAAGTGACAGTTTCCTAAGGCGGTTAAATACCCCGGTGAAAAACGGTGGCGGCTGGGAAGGCGAGCAGAGACCCGGGTGCAATCCAGACTGGAAGGAGCGGGGAGCGGCCGGGGCGCTCCGCGGGGTCGCACCGAGCCCAGGGGCAGCCGCGCGCCGGCCAGCCGCTCCTCCCCGCGCCCGCTGCCCGCTGCCCGCGGCTGGCCAGTGACTGCGCAGTCTGCGCTGCCCGCTCGCACCTCGGGCTGCTCCCGACTTGAAGGCTCGGCTCTTTCACTTCCGGTGACAGACCCCTCCCACCACCCCCAGAAACCGAGCGCCGTCCCCCCTCCAGCCGCCCCCGCGCCTGCCGAAAGCCCGGCGGCCCTCCGCGCGCGCGGAGCCCCCGGCTGGGGTCTCACCCCCGAGCGGCCAGCGGTGCCCAGCGGCGGCGGGAGGGGCCGCGAAGTGGGGAAGGGCGTGGGAGGAAGAGGAAGGGGGTGTGGACTCTCGCCCTCCCCCGCCCCCACCCCTCCGACTGCAGCATTAGGCCAAAAAAACAGGGATCCGCTGCTAGAGTCCCCGAGGCTCCCCCCACCCCAGCCCAGCCCGCGCCCCCCCCACGCCACTGCAGCGCGGAGCCCGGATCCTCCCATCCCGAACCCCCGCGCCCGACTCCCGCCCCATCGCTGCCGGCGGGGACGCGGGAGCCCCCAGGCCACACACCCGACAGCAGGGATGGGGAGGAGGGGGCGGGTAGGATGGAGGCGTGGGGGCGGCAGGAGTGGGTTGGGGGAAGGTGTGGCGGGAAGAAAGGGGGGAAAAAAAAAACCCAGAGGCATGCAAACTGCTCCCTGGCCAGCTGTTCCAGCTGCCGCTTCCTCCGGCGCGGGCCGGGCGGTGCAATATTCAAACCCCCCCTCCATCTTCCTCCCCACTACCTGTCCCCTCACCCCCCGCGCGCACACAGTTCCCCCCCCAGGAGCGTCTCTCCGGCCTGTAAGGGGGTAGTAGGGAGGAGCTGGGGGGGAGGGGATGGCCTGCGAGTTTCTAACCTTGTTCTTATAAACAAACCCACATGTGCAGCTGCCGCTGCTGCAACTCACCCCACAATCCCGGATATAAGTCCTGCCCCTTTAAGAGGAAAAAAAAGCTTCCCCCGCCTGCCTCCCGCCCCGCCCCGCCGCCGGGACCTTTGTCTCCCCACCCCTCGGCTCGCCGGCCCCGCCCCGAGGCCCCGCCCCGCCGGGCCCGGGCGGCCAATGGGCGCGGGGCCCCGGCCTGCGCCCTGACGTCATCACGGGCGGCCAAGCCCTGGGCGCGTCGGTGGGCGGCGGGGGGCGGGCGCGGCCGGCGGCGGGCAGGAAGGCGCGCGGGGAGGGCGCGGCCGCCAAGATGGACGCCGCCGCCGCCGCTGTCGCCGCCGCGGGCCCGGCCGCCGCGGCGCGGGAGGCGGACGCGGGCGCGCTGCCCGAGCGCATGCAGCGGCGCGACGAGGCGCGGCGGCTGGCGGCGGCGCAGCGGCGGCAGCACCGGCAGGAGCGGGAGGTGGCGGAGGAGACGCAGGACTTCTTCGCGGCCGCCCTGGCCCGAGAGCGCGCGGCCGTCGAGGAGCTGCTGCGCGGCGACCGGCCGGAGCCGGGGCCGGAGCCGGAGGCGGCGGCGGCCGAGCGGCTGGAGGCGGCGGCCGCGCGGCTCCAGGGCTTCCAGAAGCTCCTCAACGACTCGGTGGCGTTCGTGGCCGCCTACGACCTGCGGCAGGGCCAGGAGGCGCTGGCGCGGCTGCAGGCGGCCCTGGCCGAGCGGCGCCGGGCGGCGCAGCCCAAGAAGCGGTTCGCGTTCACCAGCCGGAGGAAGGAGGCGGCCCCGGCGGTGGACGCGGCTGCTGCCGCCGGCCGCCCGGCCTCCCCGCCGCGCGCCGCGCCCGGGGACCGCGACAGCCCCGGCCCCGGCGACCCCGACGCCCCCAGCGGGCTCTGCGGCTTCGCCCACGTGGAGTCCCGCGTCCTGGAGAAGGGGCCCGAGGAGCTGCGCCAGCGCGACGTCCTGCTGACCGAGCTGCGGGACTGCACCGTCCGCCTGCGCGGCAACCCCAACACCCTGCGCCTGCACCGGGCCCGCGGCTGCACGGTGCTCTGCGGGCCCGTCTCCACCTCCGTCTTCCTGGAGGACTGCAGCGACTGCGTGCTGGCCGTGGCCTGCCAGCAGCTCCGCGTCCACACCACGCGGGACACCCGCGTCTTCCTGCACGTCACCAGCCGGGCCATCGTGGAGGACTGCCGCGGCATCCAGTTCGCCCCGTTCACCTGGAGCTACCCGGGCATGGACCGGGACTTCGAGAGCTCGGGCTTAGACCGGAGCCGCAATCACTGGGACGACGTGGACGATTTCAACTGGCTGGTCCGGGACCAGGCGTCCCCGAACTGGAGCCTTCTCCCCGAAGAGGAGCGCGCGCGCCCCTGGGACTAGGCCCGCCGCTGTCCCTTGGGCTCGGCTCCCTCCCGGTCCACGTGCCGCCCGCCCTGGGGGACGCCAGGGTGGCCGCGACTCTTGTCACCCCCCTCCGCGCTCAGTATTTTAAGATCAGAGGGTGGGGGCGCCTCCGTTTTTTGGGGTTTTTTTGTTTGTTTTTTTGTTACGGGAATGATAGGGCCGACACCATGAAAGCTGCCTTTCTGAGCTCTGGTAGGAGCTTTCACTGTGTGCATCCTGCTATTAAAAATCGGGAGGGAAGAACCGGCCCCCGTTGGCGGTGGAGACACACACCCCACCCCACCTCACCCAACGGAAGCGGGAGTGGGATTGGTACTAGGAGTGTGAAGAGGGAGGGGCTGCCTGATTGGTCCCTTCTGCTCTCCGATAGGCGGAGGGAGGGGCGGCCAGTAGGACGCGAAGGGGAGGGGGCTGGCTGAGTCTGGGTGCGGTGGGGACTGGCCTGCTAGGTGCCAACGTTAAGCCGAAGGAAGGGTTTGGCTGGGGAGAAGTCTTGGGTGCCCTGGCCTGTTTCATTCCCACTGCTGCTGCCTAATGGCCACAATCGTGCCTGCTGTGACTTCAGGCCACTGCGGAAACCTCTGGAGCTTTTCTGACCCTGCCCCCCCAAACCACTCTGAGCTCCCCACCAAGCCTGGCTGTCTTAAGATTTCCCTCAGCATCTGTTGATGCCACTCCGGCTGATCTGTGGCTTCCACAGCAGAGTGGGAAGACAAGGTTGGGGTAGGGCGGGGTGGGGGGAACCCAAAGCTGTTATGTTTGGTTTGTTTGAGGGCCACACCCGGATGTCTTAAGTATTCCTGGCTCTGCTCAAGGCGGTGCACCGGGGGACCGGATGGGGTGCCGGGATTGAACCCGGATTGGCTGCATGCGAGGCAAACACCATACCACTCACTGTACTATTGTTCCGGCGGGAAACTGTTAAATAAAAACTGCTGCAAGGTGTCTGGTGTTTGCGGGTTCTGCGCTTACACATCTTAACCCAAGGCCAACCAAGGACAACTGTTGCATGGCGATCTGTTGGGCTTCCCTGACCAGAATCTATTATTCTCCTGTTCCGGTGGCTGTGATAGAATCTTGTGGATCAATTGTCTGAGCAGTGGAGGGAATCTGCTAAGACACTTGTGTTGACTTAAGGTGACATTGCCACACCAGGTGTGCAGTTAACCAGGGTGACATCTGTGTACCCACTCCCTTCTGCCTAGAAAAGTTGAAGTTAATACTGCTCCTAGGAGCTCCTTTGTGCTACGTGAGATACTACTCATAAACAGCCATAAAAGTCAAGAAGGTTGTTGAAGTCTGCTCATCTAAATTTTTTTTTTCTTTTTGGGTCACACCTGGCGATGCACAGGGGTTCCTCCTAGCTCTGCACTCAGGAGTTACTCCTGGCAATGCTCAGGGGACCATACGGGATGCTGGGAATCGAACCCGGGTTAGCCGCGTGCAAGGCAAACGCCCTACCCGCTGTGCTATCTCTCCAGCCCCCTCATCTAAATTTTTGAGGGCACCCACCCTATTGGCTTCAGGGATTGCAGCCAGCCATGTGTAGTGCCAGGAGTCGGGAGTCTAACCCTGACTCGGGCGTGCAAGGCAAGCACCTTAACGCATTTATCTCTCTGGATCCTAAATTCCAATCTTAAGTCAGAGTCTTCCTCCCAGCGGTTAGCTGAGTTGAAAATAGATCCCCATCAGTTTCACAACTTATAAGATCCACAAAAGGGAAATGAAGATGCTTAGAAGAAATAATCCTGGTTATAAAAAAGGTGTCATGAAATAATAAACTCTTTAAAATTTCTACCCCCAAGGCTGGAGAGATGGTGCAGCTGGGACACTCACACATAGCTAAGCCTGATGCACATAGCTGAGCAGGGTTCAGACTGGCACTCCGAACCCTGACAGATAATTCCCAAGCAGAGAGCCTGGAGAAAAACCCGGGCACCGCCAGGTGTGATTTAAACACTCCCATCCCACAAAACAAAAACTTTAACCCCTATACCATATCTTTGGGCTGGAGCGATAGCCCAGTGGGTAGGGCGTTTGCATGTGGCTGACCCAGGTTTGATTTCTCCACTCCTGTTGGAGAGCCCGGCAAGCTACCCAGAGTATCCTGTCCGCACCTGATATTCAGTATGCCAAAAACAGTAACAAGTCTCACAATGGAGATGTTACTGGTGCCCACTCGAGCAAATCAATGAATAACAGGAGGACAGTGCTACAGTGCTACCATATCTTCAGCCCCTGATTTTGGTATTTGGATCCAGGCTACTCATGGCTGTTGTCTGGAATTCACTCCCAGTGGTGCTTGGGGGACCGTGCAGTGCCAGGAATCACAGCTAAGACACAGGATGCAAACACTCAGCCCGCTGAGCATCCACTTGGCCCAAGCTCACAATTTCATGTCTGGAACTGCCAATCCCACCTGACTGAAAAGTTAATAGGCTTTCCAACCTGGTCCTCTTCCTTACACGCTCCCGTCTCCTAGAGCTCTCTCCTCTCCTGCCCTCCCTCCCCTCCCAAGATCCCCTCTGATGGATCTTGCTCCTGTCATTCCCTTGGTCTTTCCTTCCTCTTTCAGAACACCAGATCCCAAGCTTCTCCACCCAGTGTGTCACTGATTAATGTCCCAGCTCTTTCCCTGTGCTTTTGGTCATCTTTAAGAGTAGTTTTGCCCAAGGGTCAACCTGTAACAACATGTTAGTAATTTCTTACACAAGGACTGGGCTTAATGGCTCCAGGGTGAGATACAACAATCTTCACACACTTTCCTCTAAGGAAACTATTTTGGATAATTTTTAGTGGCTTGGGCTGGAGCCATAGCACAGCGGGTAGGGCGTTTGCCTTGCACGCAGCCAACATGACCGACCCGAGTTCGATTCCTCTGCCCCTCTCGGAGAGCCCAGCAAGCTACCGAGAGTTTCTCCCGGGCAAGGCAAAGCCTGGCAAGCTCCCTGTGACAGTATTTGATATACCAAACACAGTAACAATTGTCACAATGTTACTGGGCCCCCTGGAGCTAATCTATGAACAATGGACAGTGATACAGTGATACTTTAGTGCATACCAAACAATACAAAATAACTAGTACATTCTTTTTTTTTTTTTTTTTTTTTACTTTTTTGAGTCACATCTGGCTATGCACAGGGGTTACTCCTGGCTCCTGCACTCAGGAATTACTCCTGGCAGTGCTCGGGGGACCATATGGGATGCTGGGAATCGAACCCAGGTTGGCTGCATGCAAGGCAAATGCCCTACCCGCTGTGCTATTGCTCCAGTCCCCTAGTACATTCTTTTGGGGCAGGTTTGGGTGGTGGTGGCACCAATACTCTGAAAATTCAGAATAATGATGGGATGGTATAATGGTGTTGGGATTGGTGTTGGAATATTGAATGTAATAAGTTATTGTGAACAACTTTAAAAATAAAATATATATATATATATAAAAAATAAAGAAAAACTCTCAAAAAAAAAAAGTAGCTCTGCCAGGCCAGGTAGAGCACAAAGGGTTGAACACAACTGTTGCATGGAATAGGCTTGGATTTGACCCCCCAGTACTGCATGATCCCTTGAGCACTGATGGCTGTTGCCCAGGCACATAACAATACAAGAACAACAGCTGTGTTGGCCGTTGGTGCAGCTCGGAGGTAGAGTGCTCGTCTCTCGTGTCTGAAGCACTGGGTCCCATCCTAACACCGCAACAAATGGCAGTCGTGGGGTGACAGCTCTATCCACTACCCGGAAGTGATTTTATTGCTGGAAAGAAATAGTAATACAAAGCAGCAGGAACTGTTCTTTGATGGTGTCAGAGACTATTCACCAAACCTAGTAACTCCCTATCTTTCCCCCACTATTTTTTGGGGGGTGGGGACACCTGGTTGTATTCAGCGCTCACTCCTGACAGTGCTGGGGGGTCATATGTGGTGCTAGGAAATAAACCTGGATGACTGCATGCACAGCAGAAGTCTTAACCCCTGTACTATCTCTTGTTTTGGCTCTCCCCCTCCCCCCGCCCCACCTCTTTTCTTTCTGGGTGCAGCTCTCTACGTTTTCTTTTCTTTTTTTATTTTGGGTCGCACCTGGCGATGCTCAGGGGTTACTGCTGGCTCTGCACCCAGGAATTGCTCCTGTTGGTGCTCAAGAGACCATATAGGATGCTGGAGGTTGAACGTGGGTCGGCCCCATGGAAGGCTACTGTACTATCGCTCCAGCCCTCTCTACTTTCTCTTTGAAGTTATTCTCTCACCCTCAGGGCTTAGTCTACCCTCTTCCGCTCTGAAGCTCCTTTCCTGCCTTAGGGAATTTTGTTGATCTCCACGCTGTAAACAAGCGAAACACCCAAAGATTTGCTGTTAGCTTCTTAGTAACCCCTCTTTTCAGAGCTTCAACTTTTGGGGCAGTGAGGGTTAGACCCCATTTGTTGGTGCTTGGAGGCTACTCCAACTTCTGTGTATGTGGGTCACTCCTACTGGTGCCAGGGGTCAGACCCAGGTCAGCCACACACAAGACAAGTGCCTTGAACCCTAACCCTGTCTCCAGTCCCAGAGCTCAACTCCTTTTTGTTGTCATTGTTTTTGTTTGGGGACCACACCAGAGCTGCTCAGGAGTGACTCTTGGCTCTGTGCTCAGGATCACTCCTGATGGGCTCAGGGGACCATAAGGGATGGTGGCGATTGGATGCGGGCTGGCCGTGTGCAAGGCAAGTGCCCTACCTGCTATATTATTGCTCCAGCCCTGGCAGAGCTCAGCTCTTACCTGTGTGGATAGTCCCTCATCTAAACCCCAGCGTCCACCCTTGGTGGGTTCACCTGCCTTTTAAATTCTTTATATTCTTCTCTTTTTATGTAGCGGGTGGGGGTGTTGGGCCATACTTGGTGATGCTCAGGCCTCACTCCTGGCTCTGTACTATCTCTTTGACCCCTTCAAGTTTTACATCTTCCGAGCATCTCCATGTTGCCTCATTCCCTCTAAGTTCTTTCTTTTCATGTGATGACTTTCCTGAGGCGGGGGGCTTTTCTTGGGTTGGGCCACACCCAGCAGTGCTCAGGAGCTATTTCTGACTCTGCACTCGGGAATCACTTCTGGTGGGCTTGGGTGACACCATGTGGGATGCCAGGGATCAAACCCAGGTTGGCTGCATGCAAGGCAAGCGTCCTCCCCACTATACGGTCTCTCCAGCCCCAAGGATGGGGCTTAAAGTTTTTCCACTCAAAACCCCTTTTTTATTAGAGAAATGTTTATAAGACCTCAGGTTTCTAGGTATACAATCAAACATTGACTCAAAATAAATCATAAATTTAAGATGGTGTTTTGATTCTGGAGTCACACCCAACTGTGCTAGGGCTTAGTCTTTTTTTTTTTTTGCTTTTTTTTTTTTTGCAATGCTCAGGAGTTACTCCTGGCTCATGCACTCAGGAATTACTCCTGGCAGTGCTTGGGGGACCATATGGGATGCCGGGGATCGAACCTGGGTCGGCCGTGTGCAAGGGAAACGCCCTACCCGCTGTACTATCACTCCAGTCCCATGCTAGGGCTTAGTCTTGACAATACACTCAGGGATCACTCCTGGCAGTGCTCAGGGGCCTGCCCATATTAAACCGAGGTGAGTCAGCCACATGCAAGGCAATTCCTTACCTGTCCTTATCTCTCTGCCCCTGTAAGACAAAAATTTTAAAAGATTTTTCATGGCCCCACATTCAGGTCTGCGACTCCATA